AATATATATAAATGCGTACAGAAATAAAATCTTGAAACAGGCACATGACAACAGTAATTTTTATCAAACTTGGATTTGAAAACTGTTGTTTGAGATTGACAACTAAAACCAAATCCAGTACTAGAAGTCATATTGTGTGTAGGTTGAAGATTAAGTGGTGCTCTCCTGGGTTTGGATTCTATTTGCATACATAGAGAAGCTTCAGTATTTAATAATGGAAAGAACCCAGTAATAATTCTGTCCTTAAAAACTTTAATTACTGATTGTCTTAAATTACATTTTCCCTTGTTTAATGAAATTCAGATTAATCATTCAGACTAATTAAATATCTAATCAAGTTTGAATTACAAAATTAATCTGTTTTGGATAAAATATATTAAGAAAGTAGAAGGGTTCTTTAGCTTTTGTTTTACTGAGCTCTTATTACAGATAATTGAATAGATGCCTGTGGTAGGGAAGGCAGTAGTATATCTGTCGCAAAGGAGCAGCAGGAGCAGTTGTGAAGTTGCTGAGGGAGCTGGTCGGTGGCATTGCACCCTGCTGCCTTTCAAAGGTGGGAGGAGGACAGCAGGGCAGTCCATGCTTCCTCAGGAAGGCTATGGAGCAAATCCTTGTGAAAGTTGTTTTCTAGCTGCCTATATAGAGGAGAAATTCCACAGGTAGAACAGATTTGCCTTCCGCGATGAAGTGCCTGGTTCACGGGACAAAGGTCAAGCTGTTATTATTTTCCTTGGCTTTGGCAAAGTGTTCCTTATTGTCTCCTACAGCATCATTTTAGTGGACCTGGGAAAATACAGACTTAATGAATGGAAAAATGATGATTCTGTGTGGTGCGTCTGAGGTGCGTTAAGAATAGGTAGATAAAAAAAAAAAAACAAACAAACACAGGCTTGACCTAAAATTACTGCTTATCCTGAAAGTTTTCCCAATATTCAGTTAACTTGCTAGGGATTATAAAGCTGCTTATAACTAAGCAAAGAATTTAAGTGACCTCTTCTGTAAGTTACAAGGAGCCTCATTAGTATAAAATGGAAATCAAAAAGAAGGGCGATTCACTGATTCACTTTCAAAAGTTCCTTCTGAAGCTACGTTCTCACTGTGGTTCCGCTTAAGGATGCAATAGATAAACTGTCAAGCAGTATTAAAACCTAGCTGTGACTAGAAATAGAACAGAAAAACTCTTAAAGGCTCTTTTGCTACTGTTTTACAAGAAACATAGAGCATTAGTCTCTCTTTTTTTACTGCTTTCAATATTTGTCTTTCGTAATCTTAAGCTGTTTTTGCAATAAATGTTTTGACGCAACTTAGGAGGAGAAATAATGCTATACTGCACAGTTTTATTTCCTTTTTCAGAGCATTTTCCCACTTTATAAAGCATCTCTGCAGTGCTTCCCTTTTCTCAAGGAACTGCTCATTCTTAATAATTCTACACCTTCCTCCTCTCTTTTGAGGCCTTTAGCTTTTTTTAATATTTTAATTGTGCAGTTCATTTGACTCTGAAGTAATAAAGTACATGCAGTAAAAAAAGCATGGAAGTCAAGAAAAAAAGGCATTTTTTGTTCGCAATTCTTGTTTCCCGACATCTATTGAACTTTTCACTAAAAGTGAACCAGTATATCTAAGCGTGAATAGTATGTGTAGACATGTAGAATACATGTGCTGTGATATAAGTGGTTTTGCTGATGAATTTCAACTGATGGTCATGCTTTTAACCCTGCTTTATTCAGTGACACAAGTCCAGTTTTTATGCATTTCAAGGGGAACCATAAATATATCCTTTAAAAAAAATGTGTTAAACAGAACTCGTTAACTTTCATAGCTAATTACATTAATTTGCTTCTCAGCAGCAGGGAGTTGCTAAATGCTATGTTAATGTATACACAATTAAAAGTCAAATGCCTGTGTTTACAAATCAGTCACTGTAAAGTCTTAACACTGATGTACGGATAAAGCCCTGGGTTGAACTGAAGTGTTTTTGACATAGCTAATAGAGAATGTGATGAACCTTTATGAAAGTATGTTAAAACAGATCATTCAAACGAGCAACAATTATCTCTCTGGAGATCAATTAATTTATTTATCTAGTAGCTTGGTCCCTGATTTATGGCAGTCTCTGTGTATTCTTGTGTATGGCAGTCTCTGTATGCTGTGTTAAGAATGTTAACCAAAAAGTTAAAAATGAGCCTGGAAGGAGCCTTCTGCAAGGCCTTGTTACTTCAGGTTTGGTGTCCCTTATCAAGTAAAGCTTTAGGATCGCTGATGCTCTTCCACTGTTTTTGCTGCTTTGGATTCTGACACATTGTGCATTATTATACAGATCATTAATTTAATTTTCTAAGGGGAAAGGGCAGTTTAATTCCAAGAGTCTATATTTCACTATAAAAATAAACTAAAATGACTCAGCTGCTGCTAAGCAGTTTGAATTGATTTGGAAATGTGAATATTGATTTCCTCTGGGCAGACAACTTCAGATAATAACACAAAAGTACCACAGGAGAAGCTGTAATAGCAACCAGTTGTTAAGCCACTTGCTTGGGTAAATTTATTGGAAATAAATTACTGGTATGTTTTCATCAAAACAAAATTAAACTAATGAAAGACACTGAACCAAGCTCATCGTCCTTTTTGATGTGTTTTATTTCAGACTGAAATAGCCCCAAACATACACGTTTCGCTGATACTAGCATTAATAGCAATGTAATACTTGAACACAATATAAATATGTATTTCCCCCATGTTATCTGGTAGTGTTTCCTTCACGTAGCCTGTGACAAACAGATACTCTCAGACAGAAAATGCTGCGTGCTTGCCCTTAATTGAAACTTGGAAAATTATTTCACAAATGGACAGAATATGTAACATCAAACTCTTCATGGAAACAAAAGAGGAAAGTTAAAGATGGTTATCACTTGATGGCAAGGGATAGGATGGATGGCAAGGGATAGGATGGATGTATTTCAGGCACTTCTATAATTCAGTCACGGAAGTAGTTTTGGAGATTTTGAATAACAATGGTTATTTCCTGAAGAGTAGCTTAAACATTCTACAGGAAAAAATGTTACTTTCTTTTTCCATAGGAGTAAAAGTACATCTCCAATACATCTAGTACAAGCAGGTGCACATATGCTTGCAGAGATGCTACTATAAGGACTAGACATAGCCATATCAAGTCCTCTGCAACTACAGATGGAATTCAGTAGACTACAAAAGCGTGGATTTCAGTGTTAAAGTCCATTCTTCTCTGCTAAAAATACTTAGGTGGAAAATATAGCCATAACTCTCTGGTTATAAATTCCTAAGAATATCTTTCTTGCACAATTTGCTATTGAAAGTAATACAAGGTCAGCAATCTGTCCTAGCTTCTGTTCCCAACACATTTTAAAGCTTGGACATGAAGAGTTTTATAAAGCATTCCACATCCCCAGCTTCTCTTGAGTTCAGCGGAAATTTGTCATGGAAAAGCAATGGCAGAGTTAATCCACTGTTGGGAGCTTTTAAAAATCTCATCCTAGAAAACTAGCACAGAAAAATACAAAAGGTTAAAGCTTGTTAAGCACACCATTTCCATTTTTTTTTAAAAAAGGAAACTATTTCCTGTGGATTATTGCCCAGTACATGTGTTTATAGGAAAAGTCACCTGAACAAAAGCCAAAATAAGCTCCCAAGAAAAATCAGTGGAACTGTCTTTAAATAAGAAACTTATGAGCCAAATAATGATTGACTGAGGTGAAAGTAAGAAAATGAGATATTAAAAATTATTTGACCATTTTTATTACCAGACTCCTCAGTGTCCTGAGAGAGACCATTTGAATAGATGAAGTTTCATTCCTACCTCAGCAAGTTCCCACATGAAGTATTCTTAGCTATTGATCTCCGCAGCTGTTTATTTTTCTTTTCTAAATGCAGTCCTCCATTCCAGACAACAACAAAATTCTGTAGGTGTCTCGCATCCTATACATTCCACTAATGGGAGAAGTGTAACACTATTGGTGTCAGTGAAATCAGGCATTCTTTGGTATGTCTTATGTGGACTCATTCTGTGTGAGTTAATACAAGATATAAGTAGGTTCTTAGATCCTCGCCCTGGTGCCCAGCTCTGTAGTTTGATACTAGTTGTTGAGAAGTTGGTAGGTTTTTTGTTTGTTTGTTTGTTTTTTTAATCTTGAATTCATGCATGTGTGTGGAAGGGTAGCTCCTGCCCGTGTGGCTTTGTTCTGTAGGCTACTTGGAGCTATCTTTGGTTTCATTCTCTATTATTTGTTTGCAGTATCCAAGGAAAGGAGTATTAACTGTAAAAACAGCCTGAATGGGTCTTTTGTCCTTGTTTTGCATTAAGGAACTGTTAAAAAATCAACCATCAAATTAAAGTTTGGGATTTGTTTTTTTTTACCTCAGAATATGAAAAAAGGTAGACTTCTTTTTTCTTTTTCTTTTCTTTTATTATTTCTTTAAAATTAACAGTAAAAGCAATGTGTATATTTTCATTCGTCTTTGCATGCCGGTAAGAACAACAAATAAAGGAAGACCGGGGTCGTGCTCAGTTCAGCTTTGTGTTAAACTAGTTTATAACTTTACCAGCAAAATTCACTGAGAATGTAATTTGTTTTATTATGTAGATGACCCTGCGTGTGCAGGGGGTTGGACTAGATGATTCCTAGAGCTCCCTTCCAACCTTAATGATTCTATGATTCAGAAGATGACACTATGCTAATAACACCTATCCAATGCTCCCTTATTTTCTGAGCATTATGTTGCAATACTGTCCTTCCTTACAACCTGTTAATAATATTGAGAGGGAAGACAGTAGCATGCTCCATTACCCCAAATGTAGCTAGATAAACTGTTGGATAACACATTAACTTCCAAAATGTTGGATAACACATTAACTTCCAAACTGTTGGATAACACATTAACTTCAGAACACTATGAATGAAAATGGTTGCTGCTAGTGCAATGGAAGCTCTGTCCGCGGGTCCCAGCAGTCTCTCCCACCGTTGCAGGTAACAGCATTCTCCACTCGGCAGCGGACAGCGTGACGAGCGCGGTGCAGAAGGCAAGCCAGGCTTTGAACGAGCGTGGCGAAAGGTTAGGCCGAGCCGAAGAGAAGTCAGAGGAGCTCAAAAACAGCGCTCAGCAGTTTGCAGAAACTGCACACAAGGTAACGCTTTGGTGGGGCAAGGCTCTCCGTAGGTCAGGCTGTACCGTGCTTCACTCTGAAGGGAATAAGCGCTAGGAAGAATTGCTCTCAGGCACTCTTTACAGGCAGCCTGCGCTTTCCCTGGTAGCTGTTCCTCATTTGCCTCTTTTTTGGTTTATAACTTATGTTGTATAACATCTCCAGTTCATAGATTGATTGCATTTGCACTTCATTTGGATGGGTAGTAAAAAAGGTAGTTACTTTTCTGTACCTTTCTAAAGCACGTGTTTAAAGGGCAGTTAGGAGTAAGTTGTGTATGTGAGTTCCTGACATGCGTAGCAATTCAAAATCGGCTTAGGATTCATTTGCAAGTCAGCAGGCTTTATTAACGTTGATTTACTTTCTAATCAAATAAACTCATCATCCCACTACACTAGAAAGAAGTGCAATATACAGCCTTGCAGCTAGTCAGGCCTCAGCTACACTGCTGTATTTGTTGAATTTCTGTTAAAGTGTAAATCTGTGAGAAAAAATAACAATAAATATATATCTTTTATCTTAACAGGAAACACTCCTGCTGTTATTTTTCCTTTCAGTTTGAACTGAAATAATATAAGAGTTCCTGAAATGAAGGCAAATGTGTGTTATTTCCACCACACGTGAATATCTAGCTAATGGAAAACAAATTAAAAAAAAAAAATTAGATCAATTTGATTATGTTTTGGCAGCAAATCCCTTTAGTAGGTTTTATGCATTCCTGAATCAGCCTGGCAGTAGCTGTATTCAATTCATAATTCCTTTCCTTTAAAAACTCATATTTTGCAATTTTCATGTAAAATTCACTTGTAAATGTGCTTCTCTTCCGGATAACTGCATTTCGTATAAATTTCATGGACCCACACCCCCCTAAAAGCATATTAGAAACATTTGGCTCTGATTGGCATCGAGATTAAGGCACTGTTACCCTGATCTGATCTACAGCTGATTTGAAAATAATCATGTGTTTTCTCTCCCTGCAAATTCATATGTCCTGTGTTTTTGGATAGATACCTCAAAATGCAGTGTAGATTACCCCCATTAGAACTTAAGGTAGTGTAGGTGTTGGGAGTGTTGTTCCTCATCTTCCTATAACAGAAATCCCGGGGATTTTTTTGTGTGTGGGGAAAAAAGGTTGTGATTTGACTGTAGAAGGCAAAGGTGAATTCCTATGTGTGATTAAGTTTTTTATAAGCCAACTACCAAATAAAATTTCAGAAATGCTCTTGCAGCAAAAATGAACAGTGGTGTCAGTAAATAATTTAAGATATTGTAATTTTATTACATCAAGTCCTAGAGACTCCTCTCCAGAGAAGAGACAAGACCATATGTAAGATAAAGGGCTGCAGATGTATCCCAATGTTCCGTGTATTTGCACCCTACTGATAAAAAAGCATGAGATAAAGCTCAGTCATGTTCATCTATCTAGCACAGTGCTCGCTCATGCTAAACTAAGAAATACAACAGTTTGGGGGAGATTAATATCAAATTAGTATTATTCTAATTAGCAGTGAGAATATATGGTGTCTTGCCTCGTTTCTGCTATTTTTAGTATTCCTGCCTGGGGCCTCCTTGAAGTATGCAGTTCTCATTTGCTGCAGTAGGCTATTTTGGATGGCAAAAGATTAGTAAAAGAAATCCCAGACTTCGATAAATAAAAGCTTACAGTTTAACTAAAGGGAAGAAAATGGGGATGGGGAAGATGAGATGAAAAAAAGAACACTTTTGTGTTATTGCCAATGACTATATTTCAGATACCTTCAATATATATTGTAAATATATATATCACGTAGCAAAGGGAGACTTTGCATATCCATTATAGCAAAGAGAAATTCTGTCTCCAAAGAAGTTCCCTATTTCAGGTACCTTTTAGATAATTCAGTTTCAGAACTCTTATGATCCTGAGTAGATGCATTAACTTGGCTTAGCTGTAGTTACATGTGATGTATTTCTAATTCTCTTTTTTTTTTTTCTCCTTTCTCAGCTTGCCATGAAACACAAATGTTGAGATGCTGCCCAAAGTCAAAATCCACCCAAGAGGAACTGAAAAGCTAGGTTCACCAGTTTTTACAGGAGAATCCAGGCTTCCACGAGCTTTTTCCTTCCAGTTCAGTGGAGATAAGTTATTTCAGTTTCTGTGCCAGAAAAAAATATTGTATTTTTTACCTGTTAGGTTTATTTTTGTTCATTTTTTGTAAGATTGCTACACAATTCTGCAGTAGTACTTCCAGCCTGTATTTCAGGTATTACAGGAGCTAAAGCAACCAGGGAAAGCTGGACCAAATGATAGGTTGATCAGTATTAAACTAGGCATAGTCTTCCCCTGTACTTTTTCCTGGTATTGTACAGGAAAAAAAATTAACTGGCTGTGGAAATAAAATCCAAAGAAGGGTTATGCTCTTTTCATTTCCTGTAGCGTTAGCAGAATGCCAGTGTTGGAATGAAACATCTGAGGTCATAAGTGTAGTGGAGAATAGACTGTTTTGTTATGGGAGAAAGAAAGCGATATTTCTTCTTCCAAATGTAGGAACTTTTTCATGTGCCATTACCAGCCTTCAGTAAGGGATATCCGAATTACATAGGGGAATCTGTTACTCTGCTGCATTTTGAATATTTATGTTTTATCTTTCAGACAGATTATTTGAATTGTATAAAGAAACTTAGAGAATGTATGCTTAAGTTCTGGGAAAATGTGAATTTTACATCTGTGTGCGCATAGTTGTACCTCAACTCAATCTAGAATTTAGCAATCTAATTAAAGAAAAACACATTTCATTTTCTTTTTACCTGTGATTCTCTGCCTTTTAAAAGCCTATACAAATGAAAATGCACCATATTTTGAGTCACCTGTTCTGCATAAATTCTACAGTAAGAATATTTTGGAGGAAGAATTCAGAAATTTATCTGGTGAAAATGAGCTGACTTTTATTAGCTAGTCCTGATATTTTAAACTGGGATTTTGAAAAAGCATGTCTTAGTGTATTAGTTTTCAATATATATTATTGCTAGAAGAGAACTTGCCTACGGATGTTTCTCTTACAAAAATAAGATGGTTATTGTTCCATGACAGCTATATTCTTCCATGTCAGCTATATTTTTAGCATTCATTCTTATTTACTTCTAAAAGTAAATAAAAAAAAAAAGAAAGAAGACAAAAAACAGAGAAGTTGCACTTTAAAAAAAAAAAAAAAAAGGAAGCTAAAACAGAATTCTGCAGAAATTCTGGTAGAAATTTCAGCCTTTGTCTTTTAAAGATGTGTGCTCTTTAAAATCAATGCACTTCAGAATTTTCTGTCCTCATCTAACCGAAGAGCCAGAGATCTGGCATTATCTGAATGTACTGTAGTTTTCATTTTCATTGTAGACTTAAGATTTTTGCATTATTAATGACACTTTAAACAGTATAAAATCCTCAGAGCTGTGCTTGGAGTAGAGATGAAATCTTTTGTAGTAACTGAGAATAATTACTGCAAGATGAAATAACTGAAAATCTCTCATGGAAATATCTATATGGTAAGATAATTCTTGGCTTTTGGAAAATAATGAAACAAAATACATGAACTGAGTGGAACATGAGTGGTGCATTCAAATTTTGCTTTTTTTTTTCTGTAACTTAAATTATTTTGTGCCAATATTTTTTTCTTATTTCACAGATTGAGAGGAAGAGGAAATCTCTCCTCTAGGTAGGACCATACAATCATTTCAGGGTCACCTTTAGCAATTTTTTCGACCTGCACTGACAACTGAAAAGGAATTTGGACACCTACGCATTACAAGTGGGAACAATGTTTTTTAAGCTGAACAATTAGTCGATCTACTTATGATTAATGCTTGTCCTGGAAATGTCAGTAGCTTTCTGAGAACTATTGTAATGAATGTGGATATTTGCAAATTTAGAAGTAAAAGTCTGTTATTAGAAACTACATTTCTGCTAGAGACAAAATGTTAGTCTGTTTGAAAACAAAAAGAGGCGTGTTAGAACTCAGGTGCATTTTTGATCACAGAACTGTCTTCTGTTGTCACTTTTTCTGCTCTAAGTAGTTTTTGGCTGAATTATTTGTGATTCTGCTGCTAACCCCATCTAAATGATTCTGTTGAGAGAAAGATAGAACAGGCTTTGAACTGCTGCCATCTAGCTGGTCCTTTAAGATTGTCAATAATTTAGGAGAAATAACTAAACTCCAGATAGGTAAACCTTGAAAGAATTAGTTGTCTAAATTCAGATAAAAAGGCCTAGATTTTCATGTGTTTACATGTTTTAATATCAGCTGGACCAGTCCAGTTCACAGTTGCACTGCTAAGTTCCAGACCTTTTGTGGACTCAACTATCTTAAAAACATTTTTAGTCCCATTGACAGTTTTGCCACATTGGTTTTACATATCTTCCTATTTGAGTTTAAGGTATTGCATATCGTAACTCAGGACTTTTTTTCAACCATCAAAAGCCAAATGCTACAGGAATTTTGAGTAAACAAGGGATATGGATGAATAAAACAAGTTTACTTGTTTTTTTCTTCTTGCTATTCATTAGACTACAAGACTCGGTGTTTTCTAGAAAAAAATCAAAGATGTGTACTAACATCTATCCAAAGGTAAATCTTACAGCATTGTGATTTCCTTCTGGAACCTAGCCTGTAGTGTATACAGCATAGTATTACTAGATATCCATGTACATAACATACATATGCATAAGTCAGGTTAGTGTTTCATATTAAAGAATGTATTTGTAAATTGTAACAAGATCAATAGTTTCCTTATCTTTTTAAAGTTCTGCAAAGAATAAAAAAATGCATTGTTAGACTTGAGACTACTGTACTGCAAAATCTGTCTTAAAAGGCTACTTTTGTGTCTAGCAAAAGTTGTGCATTATGTGAAATATTAACAAACGTGCTCTCTAAAAAGTGATCTTAAAGGTAGGTAGGTTTGCTATAATATGCCACAATTGTAATACTTGCTGATATCTGTTGTAACAAATTCCTTGGAAGTTCTCAAAATGTAGAAATAAATTTGTGCCATTCTGGGGGGAAAAAAAGTGGGACCTGCTCTGTTAAGTCTTACTGGAAACCCTGATTTTGTCATTAAATACTCTAACTGTGAAACAAAGAAAACTGTCCTTGGATTATTTTCAAAATATATAAAGGGTTTATATCAATAACATTTTTCTATTTCACTCTAACAGAATTGAATAAAAATTAGCTTCCATCGGAATGATAACAATTTCCTCTAGAAAGAATGCAGTGCAATATTTAAAGAAATAATGGGAAATACTTTGAAGGGTTTCATGTCAAAACAGATTTTGGACAATGGCTAATATAGAGTTTAAGTTGTCTTTCTAAATGTTGTGCTGTTCAGAATATTCTGTGTTAATTTGCTTTTGATATGCCATAAAATAATTTTTTTCTAATTATTGTTTTCTTCTGTTGATCTAATTTTTATAGTGTTTTTTGTCAAAAGAGGAAACAATCCTAATTGACTCCTGGGAATAAAACTAAAAACGCTAAATTCTTACATTCTATATTCAGTGATTCAATTTTATAGATTTGAATGAAGCTGCATATGGAAGAATCTTTGATCTAGATGAATAAAATTGAGAGCTAATCCTGCAATCTGTTTTCAGGCTTAACTTTTGTCCTAAAGATCTTTGTCTGAAAAATGCAGCAGTGACAAATATTACGGTTAAATTATATTGTAAATTTTACTAGACCTAATGTTATTAGATCTGATGTTGAATACATGCCCAGTTCTGAAACTGTGTAAAGCTCTTATTAAAAAAAAATAAATCTCTGATGAATAGTCAGTGTTTGATCAGAATAGAATTTTGGTGTAATTGGATGGTATGTAGCAAGGCTATGTTAATTTAACTAACACAAAGCATTTTTATAAAACTTCTTTTCCTATCCTTATCATACATTTATCCTATAAGAATGGAAAAAAGACAGATCCAGACAGATTAGCACATAACATTCTTTTGTTTTTTTTTAATTATTATTATTATTTTCTATTTTGGAAATAGCAGTAGGGGTGCAGTAAAGATGCAGTGAGACTCCCTTTTGACTAGCGAGATCATAAAATTAGGGTTTCCATAAATCCTTCCATTTGAGATCCTTGGTGCTGTAGGTAGGACTGGCACTCTGGTAAAAGGCATTCATCTTGGATAATCTTGTTCCACACATTTGGACATCTCTGGAATTTGGAACAATTCTTTCCTCTTAAGAGAGAGTTTAGCTTAACCTGAAGCATCTCAGTATTGCTCTTAAAGATAAGAAGTAATCTACATGCCGCAAATCAGCAGCACCTAATTCTGAGATGAAGGTGGATAGGATGAGGGAAGGCAGAAGGGTTGGAGGCTTCTGCTTCACTTGAGCAGGTCAGAAAAAGCACTAAAACAGCTGCCACGTGAGCTCTGCGTGACGATGCAGCTCCCGGGGAAGAGGACCGCAGTGATGGAGTGCAGGTCACTAGTATTTTATCACAAGTGTTTGGAGAACTAGCTGCAATTTTAACAGCCAGCTCTAGAAAACTGTGGTCAGGGTGGTCCTCAGATGTTTTAATGCTGTGTATACAGAAATGAGTACCCTTGCTGTAATCTTACGTATTCATTTCTTTTGTCTTCCATGTTCGGTTCTTCAGCATTTTCAGACAAGCTGAAAACAGGTCTGTTAGAAGTCGTAGCATTCTCAGACTTCCTGACAAGTGCTATTCTTCACAGAGACCATGAGCAATAGCAGAGCTGCCAGTGTCTGACTGGAGTAATAGCTGTACATACAGGATCATTTGTAGGACACACAGCTCAGACAGGGAGCATTCATTTCCCAGGAGCAGTGTCATCATTCTTAGCATCCCTTCATGAGGAGAGAATCACTGACTCTCAGATACTGTTAATTACCAGAAATGTGAGCTTCCCTCTTCTCTCTGTGTGACACTGTAGATGCACAAGATTATTTATGCCTTTTCTTGGTACCCCTGACTTAATCTTTTCTAGTTCCAATTCTTGTGGTCTTTCATACAGGATATCAAGATTCTCTCTTCTTACCTCATTTGCAAAATCCTCATCCGAAGGGACAGCTCCACAGCTAAACTGTCATTCTTTATAAGCCCATCAAGAAGGGCTTCTTTAGTCCCCAGCATGCGATG